ATAAATAAATAAATAAATAAATAAATAAATAGAATAGAATAGAATAACAGAGTTGGAAAGAACCTTGGAGGTCTTCTAGTCCAAACCCCTGCTCAATCAGAAACCCTATACCATTTCAGACATGGATGTCCAATGTCTTCTTAAAAATGTCCAGTCTTGGAGCATTCACAACTTCTGGAGGCAAGTTGTTCCAGTGGTTAATTGTTCAAATGGTCAAGAAATTTTTTCTTAGTTCTAGGTTGCTTCACTCCTTGATTAGTTTCCATCCATTGTCCTGCCCTTAGGTGCTTTGGAGAATAGCTTGACTCCCTCTTTGTTGCAACCCCTGAGATGTTGGAACACTGCTATTATGTCACCCTTAGTCCTTCTTTTCATTAAATCAGACATACCCAATTCCAGCAACCGTTCTTTATATGTTTTAATCTCCAGTCCCCTAATCATCTTTGTTGCTCTTCTCTGCACTCTTTATAGAGTCTCAACATCTTTTTACATCGTGGTGACCAAAACTGGATGCAATATTCCAAGTGTGGCCGTACCAAGGCATTATAAAGTGGTATTAACACTTCATGTGATCTTAATTCTATCCCTCTCTTAATGCAGCCTAGAACTATGTTGGTTTTTTGGCAGCTGCAGCACACTGTTGGCTCATATTTAAATCATTGTCCACTAGGACTCCAAGATCCCTCTCATAGTTACTATTATTGAGCAAGGTACCACCTATACTGTACCTGTGTATTTGGTGTTTCTTGCCTAAATGTAGAACTTATTATATACTTATTATATATACTTATTATATATACTGTTTATATACTCATTTCCACCTAGGCAAATAAATATTTCTTTATTTATATTTAAAACTTTATGTGACCAAGAATTGTCCTTTAAAATAATTGCTCAAATGGTACTATGCTTCTGGCACACCTTCTGAATTGAGTAGGGGGTGATGAAAAGAGTTTGGTATTGGACATGTTATCACCTTTGGTGGCAAATCCCAATTAATCAATGGTTTTTAAGAAGAGGGAAAATCACTCAACAATCTAAAGAATTTTTAGCTTTGTTCAGTCTGTTCTTTCTAACGTCCATCCTATTATTATTAGTATATGGCAGGGGTCTGCAACCTGAAACACTAAAAGAGCCACTTGGACCTGTTTCTCTCTCTCTCTCTCTCTCTCTCTCTCTCTCTCTCTCTCTCTCTCTCTCTCTCTCTCTCTCTCTCTCTCTCTCTCTCTCTCTCTCTCTCTCTCTCTCTCTCTCTCTCTCTCTCTCTCTCTCCTCTCCCTCTCTCTTTCTCTCTCTCTCTTTCCTCTTCCTCTCTCTCTTTGTCTCTTTCCTCTCCCTGTCTCTTTCTTTCTCTTTCCTCTCTTTCTCTCTCTCGCCCTCTTTCCTCTCCCTCTCTCTCCCTCTCTTTCTCTCTTTCCTCTCCTCCCTCTCTCTTTCTTTCTCTCTTTCTCTTTCTCTCTCCCTCTCTCCTCTCCCTCTCCCTCTCTCCCTCTCTTTCTCTCTCTTTCCTTTCCCTCTCTTTTTTCTCTTTTCTCTCTCTTTCGCTCTCTTTCTTTTTCGCTCTAATTCTCTTTCCTTTCTCTCTTTCCTCTCCCTTTCTCTCCCTCTCTTTCTCTCTTTCACTCTCCCTCCCTCTCTTTTTCTCTCTCTCTCCCTCTTTCTCTCCCTCTCTCTTTCCTCTCCCTCTCTTGCTTGCTTTCTCTCTTTCCTCTCTCTCCCTCTCCCTCTCTTTCTCTTCCTTTCCTTTACTTCTGTCTCTTTCTCTCTCTTACCTCTCCCTCTTTCTCTCTTTCCTCTCCCTCTCTCCCTTTCTCTTTCTTCTATTTTTTGCTCTCTCTCCTTCCTCTATTTCCCCCCTCTTTCTCCTTCTCTCTCTCTCTTTCTCTCTCTTTCTCTTTCTCTCCCTCTCTTTCCTCTCCCTCTCTCTCCCTCCCTCTTTCTCTTTCTCTCCCTCTCTCTTTCTCTCTGTCTCTTTCTCTGTCTCTTTCTCTGCCTCTCTCTGATCTTCTGCTCACCTGGCAAGCTGGCTTCAAGCTGTTCTCCAGCAAGCTGACACAGATTCTTATTGGGGCAGCTCTCTCCTGTCCTTCCTGCTTCCTGCAGACATGCAGCTAAGGCAGGAGCCCCACCCAATAAGCTTGTCAGCTTGTCAGAGAATAGGGTAAGACCACTCTCTTTTTTACACACACACACACACACACACACACACACACACACACAGAGAGAGAGAGAGAGAGAGAGAGAGAGAGAGAGAGAGAGAGAGAGAGAAGGGAAGCGCAAGTGCCTCTCTTTGTCTCTCTCTGTCTCTCTCTGCAAATGGCAGAGGAGGCTGGGAGCCGCAGGAGAAGGCTCAAACAGCCACAGGTGGCTCCGGAGCCGCGGGTTGCTGACCTGTGGTATATGGCATTGTTATATTAGACAGGAGAACACAATGCTATTGCAGAGATGTAATTTGGCTTGCCAAGGTACCAGCTCTATTATAGGAAACACTTGCACACTTTCCATGATGAACAACAGGAAGGCAAACTGGTTCTGCACCAGAAAGAAAGACAAGCAGCTCTCTCTGCAGTGTCATCAAAGGTTCTCTCCCTTCCTGAATCCGCTTTTCAAATAGGTGCAGAACTGGGAAGATTCAGAGGGCAGGAATCTAACTGTCTGCACAGAGCACCAGCAAGTCTCCCCACTGAAGTGGTATCTATTTTATCTACTCACATGGAACATGCTTTTGAACTGTTAGATGGAGAGAAGCCAAGCTGAGTGAAGGGAGCTCACTTCAGCAAGCAGTGCTAGGACTCGAACTGCTGGAGCATAAATCATCTCCAGCATCAGTAAGCCACTCAGCCACCACATCTCTAATGTGTCATGGTTCTGACAGATGAAACTCTTCAAAGAACTTTGAGGCATTGTTTACCTTAAAGAATCTTTATTCGGGTAGCAACACATGGGCACGTACATAGTCCAAGCCAAAATCTGACTTCCCCTCCCCTAAGCACCTAGTATCAAAGCACAATTCCCTCCTCTAACTAACAGTCATAAATCACATTCTCCAATTAGTTTGAAATGCTGGCTTCCCCACCAGTTCTTCAACCCGCCATGTTTTATCATCTCTTATTAGAAAAAACCCTGGTTCCCACCCTTATACAGTATTGTTATGTCTAACTAAACTCCCAAGCACAATCCTCCTCCTCCCCCCAGTATCATCTAATTCTAACTCTAAGAGTAAAACATAAAATAGAGGAAAATGGCTGCATCTCCATATGTTGTGAAAGCAAGAACATTCAATGTTAGCAGCATTGACATCATGTTCATGTTGATATAAACATAGTTCTTTTCCCTCCACAAGAATTGGTCTGTAAAATATTGAAAACCAAAATAGAATTTAATTAATTAAATTGAATTAATTTAAATTAATTTAATCATATGGGAAATTTCTTCCTGAAAAATTAATATATCCTTTCAGGAAAGACGCAGCAGGCTCTGAAAAATTCTAAGCTGAAAGACAAGTGCAGCAATGTCTGTTTTAATTTTATTATCTACCTACATAATTTATTTCTTATAATACCTTTATGTGTACTAATGAGGTTCAGAAAGAAATATACCCTTTAGGTGTTTGAAACATAGATTACTTTTTTTTAACTGATGTTTATGAAGATGGCTATATGTAAAGAGCCAGTTAACTATTAGATAGATAATAAGATCTAAAAACAATTTGCTTGTTCTTGTTCTATTTCTTATGTATTAAATGCTCTCTAGTGTTGAGCTCAGGTTTAAATATCATTATATAGAATTTGGGGATGAAGATGCATCCCAGTAAGCCAGCACTGGAAGACAGGATAGAGAAGATCTCCACAGCCACCATGTATTTCCCTTTGGTGCTCATATAGGTGGGGACAAAAGTCACCCAAACACTGCAGAAAACCAACATGCTGAAAGTGATGAACTTGGCTTCATTAAAACTGTCTGGCAACTTCCTGGCTAGGAAGGCCACAATGAAGCTGAGAAGGGCCAAGAGGCCCATGTAGCTCAAGACACAGTAAAACATGGTGATGGAGCCTTCATGACATTCTACTATGATTTCTCCATGGAGTGCCTCCATGTCTAAATTAGGAAATGGGGGAGAATTAGCCAGCCAACCAATACAAATTCCTACTTGAATGAAGGAGCAGAACAAGATAATAGAGTAGGCCAACTTTTGCCCCACCCATTTATGGAATAGGCTTCCTGGCTTTGATGCTAGGAATGCTACAATGACCGTGATGGTTTTGGCCAATATAGAAGAGATTGCAATAGAGAAGATGATGCCGAATGTTGTTTGTCGGAGGAAGCATGTTGCCCTATTGGAGTGTCCAATAAACAGAAGTGAGCAAAGGGAACAAAAAAAGAGGGATGTAAGTAGAAGGTAAGTGAGGTTGCGATTGTTGGCTTTGACGATGGGAGTGTCCCGTTGCTTGATGAAAATTACAAGCACAAGACCTGTGGAGAAGGAAAAGAGAAGAGCCAGAGACACCAGAATAATGCCCAGTGGCTCTTCAAAGGAGAGGAAATTCATTGTCTTTAGAATGCACTCATCGTGAGCTTGGTTTGGGAACTGATCCTCTGGACAACTCTCACAAATCTCCATGTCTGAAAAGAAGAAAAGAGTTTCTGAATAGAATTAAACTTTTCTCAAGTATCAGAACTGCTTTTCTGGAATTCCCTCCAAGGAGTTTTCTAAAACTTTTTGTAACTTTTGTACTTCAGTTGTTTTCATTAGCTGATCAGAATATAAAATACAAAGGACAATCAAAATGATGGGAAACAAGAGAAAAAGAGAGGTCGAGTAGAAGGGGGAAAAGGAAAAAAACATTAATCCTATAGCAAGTAAAAGATAATAATATTAAAGCCTCAACTTTTTATTCTTACACTGTAGTATATATATTAGCTATGTCTATAACAACTTATCTAATCAGGAAAAACAAAATCAGAGTTTCATTTTTTCCATCACAAGCAGAAAATCTGGAAGTGTTTTCCAAATAGAAAAAAAAATAAATATACTGAAATGAACTTTTAGGCATAGGTTCATTGGGATGCTATGAATCTTACCCATTTGTTTGGTTATCATCTTTTCTGGACAGGAAGCACAAGCATAGCAGCAAAATGATTGCCCTTCAATCTTGTTCTTTATTTTTCCAAGAGGACAAGGATCATTACATAAAGAGAGAGGAGGCAGCTATCCCCAAATAGAAAAAGAGATGAGTATTAATCTTTTGTTTTTGCTTTTGTTTAGAGCCAATGAATATGAATGAGACAGTTGATCGCTCTGCCATGAAGGAGATTCAGACAGTTTAATCACGAAAAAGGCTGCCAGATCCAGGAATACAATTGAATTGTATTTCATTGTTTATTAGTTTAGCCAAAGTTTAATTAATGCAATACAGTCCAGAATTATATCCAGATTTTGATTATTTCCAACATTCTTCCACATTCAAGTTGCTGCTTAGTACCTACATGGCATAGGACCTGGTTACATGATGCGCTGCCTGTCTCCCATAGTATTTGCCTGGCTTGTTCCATCTGGCAAGGTTGGCACACTCATGGTTCTATCAATTAAACTATGCCATTTATTTCGACCTCGGAGTGCATGTTCCTTGTAACAGTACCTGCCCTCTGGAATGAACCTTCTCCCAAATTTAAATGTCTCCCATCCTTTTACTATTTCAAAATCTCTGAAGATATGATGTTCACCAGGCTTTTTGGCAAAGATGAATGATACCCATTTCTTTCTTATCCCTGTCTCCATTCATGTTGTTTTCTCAACCATCTTTTCTTTTTTGTGTTGTCATTATGTCTTTGTATGATTTTGTAAACTTCCCAGAATGACTGACAGTTGAGTGGCATTTAAATTTGACCTAGTATGGATGGATGCATAGTCAGTGTGATGTTTAGACTGGATTTGGCATTTCTATCCACCTACTGAGTCCATCTGAAGAATCTGGGACAAGAGAGATGTTGTGATTTAATGGTTTTAATAGTACCCTCACAATATGTCAGTCTTCCAAGTAAAGCTGCCTTTTGCAATTGACTGATGGTGATTTTTGTCAATTCCAACCACCAGCCAGTTGCAAAAAGAGTTTTGCTTGAAAGAGTTTACATCCTGCAATGATAGATTTAACACCATTAAACAATAAGATCTTCCTACCCAGGGTGCTTGAGAAAATCTTGATAGGGAGACTTCTTGTGAAGATGGCCAATAGATGATAAGCTCTTTGGATTGCCATTTTTTTCAAACTTACTAACACAAGGAACAGGGATTCCTTTAGTTGACATGACTCTCCTGTGTTAGGGAGAGTCCTAGAATCATCCCACGAGACGCTCCACACAGCAGAGGTATACAGGAATCCTCGGGAGCTGTGCTTTGGACCAGCTGGTGAGCTATTCCACTGGTGGGGGGAAGCGGGGCTGCAATCACTTCTTTGTTGGAAAAGCAGCCATTTTGGAATCTATTTTTCCAATAGACAATAAGTTGTGCCTTTCCTTTCTTAATCAATTTATGGGATTATTATCTGTATTTGCTAAAAGAGGCTCTTTCTAGTCACAGCCTCCTTTTTTGAAGCTCTGCAACAGATTTGATTCTTTATTGTTAATATTGAATAATTTAGAGATGCAATCATTTATAGAAAATTGTGAAATCACTGAGGCAATTTCACAGATATCTGATAATGTAAAGGATTTAACTGTAATTTTGGAAAACAAAATTGACACCAATCTTTATTATATAATGGTTTAAATACAACTTTCTGAGCATAACTGAAAGAAGCGATCCAAGGAAATCTTTAACTCTCAAGAGAACAAGTTTGGGAATTTTTCTTCATGGATATTAAGAAGGTTGAGAATTTCTTGAGAAAAAGAGACTTGATAGACATACCAGGGATGAAAAATATTTTATTCTATGAGGTAAACTGGGAGAAGTGTCTTAAGTTTAATGAGTTAATTAGAGTGAGGAAGGATTTTTACAAGTCTGATCTAGGTAATTGAATGACATCTCTAATGTACAGTAGTTTTCTGTTTATAAAGTAGGTATGCAAATATATATATATAATATAATATATATATTATATATTATATAATTCTCTAGTAATTTCTAAAGTTTGTAAAATATTATTGAAAGTGAATTTGATTGCTGGAATGTTAGGAGGAATTAAAAAAAGTTGTAGTAGAATTTACTGATTTTAGAAATACCTTTAAAGTAAAATTTTAAAATGGATGTTTAAAAAAAGGATTTCCCCCTTTGGTAAGAGAACTTGGGACAATGTAGTAATTGTGTTAATATAAACGATGATAGTTTGGGAAGATTAATAAGTGCAAACAGAAATATATATTATTTCCTAAAGGAAAAAGAAAGAAGAGGTAAAAAATGATTGTTTTATTCAATCATTTGGAAATCACTTCAGGATTTTGTGCTTGTGATGGAAAAAAATAAAACTTTGATTTTGATTTTGCTGATTAGATAGGTTTGTTTTTATAAAAATGGCTAGTATTTATTATTGTGTAAAAGGAAAAGTTGAAGTTGTAATGTTCTTATCTTTTACTGTGCTAAAAAGGGTCGGTAGTCAATGCCTTTTTTTCTTTTTCCCCTTCTATCATAGTTTTTCCTTTTCCCATTTCCCTCCCTTACTTTCCCATTATTTTCATTTTGTTTGTATTTTATATTCTGATGAACTAATAACAAATTTAAATGAGGTGAAGTATTTTATAGATGGATAACAATGCCAAATCCAGTGTAAACATCTGGCTGACTGACAGTCAGTTTACTGGCAACTCATGGAAAGAACCTAAAACTTTGAGGATTTGAAGAAAGCTGAGAGTTTGAAATTGTTAATTGTTTCACAGAAGAAAAGACTTTGTCTCTGGTAGCATTAATTATATTATTGAAATGTGGGTACATATGAGTTCTTTCTTGGGAATAATGGTTTAGATATGAAGGTTTAGATATCAGTTGGGAAGGCAAATATCTGGGCATGGAACTGTATTTCTCTTATTAACTGAGAGCAAATTTCCTTGCACAAGAAATTTGGAAATTCTAAAGAATGAGATTATCCAACATTAAACAGGCCAATACTTCTGTTTTTGCACATCTTTGACAGAGATGCAGTGTAATGTAATTGGATACTAAAACTAGTGCTATCTAAGGGCTAAAGGAAAGGCTACAAGTGCCAAAACAGTGTATATGAAATTGAGTCTTTCAGTCAATGTTATGGTACCTGAGTGAATTCATGATGCCATTGAATTTTCTCTGGTTGTATGCGGAAGGTTTCTCTTGGAGGAGCTCGCCGATCGATCTCTCCAACTGGGACGTAGATATATGAGTTATTTGGGAAAGTATTCAAATTTACAATGTCAAAACCAGCATCTAAGACTCCTTCTTGATTTAATTTAATTTCATCTCCAGCATTGTTGTTGAAGGAAATTCTCTGCAGAAATGAATGGAGCTTGCAGAAGGAAAAAAGATGATCTTTAAAGGGACACATACACATTTCCTATGTCCTGGCACTCTGTTGTAACCATAGAGAATCTTTTAAAAGAGAACTGAGAAAGAGAAATCTTACCTGCCAGGCTTCTACACTCTTTGATCGCACTTGATCCCTGTCCTTTTGTATGTTCTGGTGTGTCCTAACTGTATGAGCAGCTTGTAAGGCTTGAGCCACAGCATAGACGGCATTGTAGATACTGTAACTATGGCTAAGCATGCTGATTTCAAAGAAGGGTGCAAGAAGGTTCTCCAGTCTTTCTTCTCCAGTGCACTCCCCATCTTCAGGAGCATCTTTATTTGGTATGGAGCAGCCAAATGCTTGGTGCCAAAAATCTCTGATGAAGCCATCTTGATTTGCCCCAGAAGGGGTGACAGACTGCATAAATTGTTGGAAACCTGGAAGTTGTTTTTTGGTAATTGAGAAGGAAATGGCCCCATGGAACATTTGCATATCAAACTCCCTTTGGAAGGTACCTAATGTGAAATCATTCTGTGCCATCGTGATCCACACTTTTCGTGTATTGAGTTTTTGTGAAGAATCAAAAGTTGTTGATTCAAAAATTGGGGTCACTATTAGTGTAGAGGCCAGCCACATAAAGACTATATTTTCTCCATGTATAATAACTGCATTTGCTGTTTTCTCTGTGAACAAAATAGCGTGCCTCACACATTGTTCAACCAGGTCAAATTGGTCATAAAAATGTAAATTTCTCTCAACTCTTTCCGTGAATTCAGAGCAGATTTTATTTTCCGAGAGCATGGGTTCCATAATTTGTATGAAATGTTCTCCATGTTTGTCATCTGCAATGACAAATCCTACCCATTTCCATCCAAAGTACAGGAGGAGCTGAATTAAACCATCGTATTGGAGACCTTCATCGGGGGCCATGCGATAAAAAGGGGGGAAACGTGATTCAACCGTTGCTACAAATTGAAATGAGCCATATGAAATCTAAAGGAAAGAAAGGAGGAATAAAAGAAAGAGAATGATAGAGAAAGAGAAATTATGGATGTATGCATTTTATTTCTATTGATTTAAACCACTTTAGGTTTAAAAATATAGGTTTAATATTTTAATTTAGATTAGAAATTTCCCAAGTGACATATGCATTTTGATACTTTTTTGTTTACTTGTCTACCTATTTATCATCTCTCTCTCTCTCTCTCTCTCTCTCTCTCTCTCTCTCTCTCTCTCTCTCTCTCTCTCTCTCTCTCTCTCTCTCTCTCTCTCTCTCTCTCTCTCTCAATATATACTTGTCTGTCTGTGTGTTTTTGTGTCTGCCTATCTATCTATCTATCTATCTATCTATCTATCTATCTATCTATCATCAAACTATCTCTATCTCAGCCCTTTTCATTGTAGCTAACTTAATCAAGGGTTTTAATTAATCCTTGGTCAACATATTCCATATATTGTCCCACACATTTTTAATATTAAATCAAAATGTTTGTGTACCTTGTACCTTATTCTAAAATATACAAATTGAAATCAGTGAAGCAGGTAATTGTAGCCCCAATAATCATGAATATTCAACTATGCTCTAAAATTCTTTAAGTGTGGATTCATTTTACAACTTTTGGAAGCAGCCATAGACTGAAGTGAAAATTGGATTAGTCAAACTCTACACCTTGTACTTTTTTGTCAAATTCTGATAAATCATGTTCCTTGATGGGAAAATCAAGAGATTATCCTCTGTGTGATAGCAGTAATTCTACAGTTCCACCCATCCTAATCTATGGCTCCAACCTGTGGAATCTTGAAAAGCTGCAAGATTTCTGCCATACGTATGGATGTTTCAGGGCTCATCCCTCCGATGATTCCCATAATTTTCTTTTGAGTCCCACAAATATAGTTGGGGACAATTTTATGCAACTTAAAAAGCAGGTCCAGAGTGGTACGATAGGTCATTAGTGCAGCAGAGTAGCTGTCATAGATGTGGAATCCAAGAGTGATATTCGGCAAGATGTGAGGATCCTTGTTGATGTCCTTCACGGCAAACACTAAAGCCAAGATGTGTTGGTAGAACTTTGTTATCACACTGTAAATAAAGTGACTTGCTTCAAAAGAGAAGTATGCTATGCATTATGCTACTAAAGAGATATGCAGTGAGAAAAAATTATATGAAATATGTTTTGCTTTTGCTTCTCTAGATTGCCCTTATGTTGTGCATATTAGAGATATTGCTGAATTTCCACAATTTCTCTCTTAACATTCAAGATTCAAGATCTTTATATAAGATATTTAATTGTACACTTGAACAAATCATTTTAATAGTGATAGACCCATACAAATTAAAGGAAGGGCTTTCTACATAGGTGAGTATAATATAATGAATTATATTAGATTAAAGTAATGAGCTATCTCAGATTAATAGGAGGAGCTATGAAAGACTTTACAGAAGGATTTCATTTCTGAAACTTCTGAACACTTGTCATGTAAAGTGTTTGAAATGAGACAAAATGTTGGCTGCAATAAACATTAAATCTTCCAAATATACCCCAAGCTTTGAAGAGATTATTGAGTAGGAAAAAATGGAATGGGTTGATTTTTCCATGAGAATCTGAGCTAAGTGGAACTAAGTTGTGGGCATATATTAGAGAAGATCATATGATGAAGAACGTAGAGCTGAAGAACATAGCCATATATTTAGAAATTCAGAAACAAATGCTCTGTCGTGTTTTAGAAATAGGACCTCAACTATCAAATAAATACATGAAAAAATAGAGACATAGTATTAATAACTAATGCCTCCCCAAGGTTTTGGAAATTATTTTTTATTACTGTTTCTAATGGTCTAAGGAAAGGATGAGTATAGAAAAAGATATATTAAAAGATTATGGAGCCTTTTATGTTATGGTGAATTAGGGTTGGTGCTTTTCTCCAACTGGAAAGTGATTTCAATTCTCAACTCAGTATCAGTTCATTCTGTTCTATTATCCTTTTAACTGAAATTAGAATATTGGATGTTAAATAAACTCATTATTTCTATTTATTAATCTGTTATTAAGGATATGCCAATTATACATTGATATTTTGTTACATAGATTGATTGAACCTTTGTGTTTTGCAGAAATGGAAAGAAAAGAGCAGGATTATATTAAAATCAGGTAAAAGAGTGATTTCTTACAATGGGATGTCAATTGATTCCATAGAAGGATGTCTTTTGAATTTAATTTCGGGGAACACGTAATGGACTTGAGACATCAGTCCACCAATCAAAAGTTCTCCCTCCTGGTACCATTCCTGTGGAATTTTAAGGGCTTCATCTCCAGTGCACTTTAGAGGTTGTACCTTCATGGCCAAGCCTAGAAGCAGTAATAGGGCAATAATCTCCAACATTCTGACTTATTTGGCTTCTCCTGTATTGCTGTTGCCAGATGTTTAGATTGAAACTGATGCTATGGACAGCAGAATAATTGCTATCCACATCAAGATCTGACTTAAGATTTTGTCCTGTCTCAATAATTGATGTGATTTCTTTTCTTAAGTCTCACTTATGTTTCCATGCCAAAGTGTGAATAGACAGAGTTGCAATTGATCCAAATACCTGATTTTGGGGCTCTTTCTTCACTGTCAATTTAGGAAAACATCAGAAGACCTTGGTATTCTCAATATTTTCTCTTGGTCCTCTAACTGTTAGGCTTTAGCAGAATTTCAATTCTCTTATAGAACTCCTCCAAGATGGTTGTCCTCGTATATCTTGCATGTGTGGGACTATGGAGCAAGTCCCACTTATTCAAATATGAGAGAATCTGTCAGCTGTGGAACTGATCAACAGGCTAAACATATTAGCACAAAATCCACAAGCCCTACATATATGTGATAAGAACAACAAATAAGTACAAAATCCTGAGCATCCAACTTATGGCAGCAGCTGTCTTACTTATCCTGTGCTGGCTGGGGACACTTCAATCAGTTTTGAAGAATGGCCCCTAGTATGGAATCGTACATTGAAAGTTTATATCTATTCTGGCATTTGCCCTTGATATTTCTTTCAAATGCACCTTGAAAGCCACTGGAGGATTGACCTGTTAATTTGTTTGTGATAACTACTGTAGAGAGATGATAACTTTCCTATTAGAAATGCTGAAACAAACATTTTTGTGAAATACCAGGGAAACATTTTTAAGGTTAAGGAACTGTGGTTGACGTTTATACTTTGGCAACGTGGCAGGGTTCTGCATAAAAGATGTGTGGCCACATACATTCTCTTAATATATTAATCAAACACACAAATGCACATACTTGAATTAAGGTAAATAAGTGTGTCTCAGGATAATGTTGCAGGATCCAATCTTCTGAGCTTTTGGACTTATGGCAGCTATTAAGTTGTTGGCTCTTGTTTCCTTGTGTTGTCAGGTTTTTGGCTCTTAAGAACCTGATAAGTTGGTGGTAAATCAACATTCCTTTGACTGACAAAGGGCCTGTTTCCCAGGCTTGAATCATTTCTCTGACTATTTTTGTGCCTACTCAGCCAACAATCTTAGTAACTGCAAAATTGAACGTATGTCCTTGCTCATTGCAATTGCCCACAACTTATCGTCAACAGGCAGAATACTCAGTATGGAACCTGTGGCCCAGAAAATCAAATCATTTGTATTCACTGACTATATCACAATGATAGGATGGCTAGTGTGCTGCTGTAGTAAAAAGGAATAATTAGTATTATGGTCACATGGATGAGTTTCTCTAAAATTTTCCTGTGTCACCTGCAATTCCCACCATGCCTGTCTTTTCCTTTGTCTCCCTTTTACAATGTAGTGGGTCAAAGGGATATAAGCCCTGCTTTGCTTTTCCTCATGTAGCCACTACATTTTCCTATCTCTTTGTTTTCTACCCAGAAAAACCACAGAAAGGCAAGGGTTTCATCTGAATAGAATAGAATAGAATAGAATAGAATAGAATAGAATAGAATAGAATAACAGAGTTGGAAAGAACCTTGGAGGTCTTCTAGTCCAAACCCCTGCTCAATCAGAAACCCTATACCATTTCAGACATGGATGTCCAATGTCTTCTTAACAATTTCCAGTCTTGGAGCATTCACAACTTCTAGAACTATGTTGGTTTTTTGGTAGCTGCAGCACACTGTTGGCTCATATTTAAATAATTGTCCACTAGGACTCCAAGATCCCTCTCATAGTTATTATTATTGAGCCAGGTATCACCTATACTGTACCTGTGTATTTGGTGTTTCTTGCCTAAATGTAGAACTTATTATATACTTATTATATATACTTATTATATACTCATTTCCACCTAGGCAAATAAATATTTCTTTATTTATATTTAAAACTTCATGTGACCAAGAATTGTCCTTTAAAATAATTGCTCAAATGGTACTATGCTTCTAGCACACCTTCTGAATTGAGTAGGGGGTGATGAAAAGAGTTTGGTATTGGACATATTATCACCTTTGGTGGCAAATCCCAATTAATAAATGGTTTTTAAGAAGAGGGAAAATCACTCAACAATCTAAAGAATTTTTAGCTTTGTTCAGTTTGTTCTTTTTAACGTCCATCTTATTATTATTAGTATATGGCAGGGGTCTGCAACCTGAAACACTAAAAGAGCCACTTGGACCCATTTCCCAGAGAAAAGAAATCACTGGGAGCCGCAAAACTTGCACGCAAGAGGGGGAGAGCTTGATTGAAGAGTTTAATTAAAAAGAAATAGAGGCTGTTGTGCATGAATTCTCTCTCTCTCTCTCTCTCTCTCTCTCTCTCTCTCTCTCTCTCTCTCTCTCTCTCTCTCTCTCTCTCTCTCTCTCTCTCTCTCTCTCTCTCTCTCTCTCTCTCTCTCTCTCTCTCTCTCTCTCTCTCTCTCTCTCTCCCTCTCCCCTCTCTCTCTCTCTCTCCCTCTCCCCTCTCCCTTTCTCTCTTTCCTCTTCCTCTCTCTTTCTCTCTCTCGCTCTCTTTCCTCTCCGTCTCTCTCCGTCTCTCCCTCTTTCCTCTCCTCCCTCTCTTTCTCTCTCTTTCTTTCTCTCTCCCTCTCTCTCCTGTCCCTCTTTATCTCTCCCTCTCTTTCTCTCTCTTTCCTCTCCCTCTCTTTCTTTCTCTTTCCTCTCTCTATCTCTCTCTCTTTTCCTCTCCCTCTCTCTCCCTCTCTTTCTCTTTCCTCTCCTCCCTCTCTCTTTCTCTTTCTCTCTCCCTCTCTCTCCTCTTCCTCTTTCTCTCTCCCTCTTTCTATCTCTCTCTCCTCTCCCTCTCTCCCTCTCTCTCTCTTTCACTCTCCCTCCCTCCCTCTCTTTTTCTCTCTCCCTCTTTCTTCTCTCTCTCTCTTCCTTTCTCTCTTTCCTCTCTCTCCCTCTTTCTCTTTCCTCTCCCTCTCTCTTTTTCCTCTCCCTCTCTCTCTTTCCTCTCCTTCTCTCTCTTTCCTCTCCCCCCTCTCTTTCTTCTCTCTCTTTCGCTCTCTCTCTTTCCTCTCTCCCTCTCTCTCCTCTCCCTCTCTCTCCCTCTCTTTTCTCTTTCTCTCTCCCTTTCTCTCTCTCTTTTTTCTCTTTCTCTCTCCCTCCCTCTTTTTCTTTCTGTCTCTTTTTTCTCTCTCCCTCTTTCTCTCCCTTTCCTTTACTTCTGTCTCTCTCTCTCTCTTTCCTCTCCCTCTCTCGTTCTCTCCCCCTCTCTCTCTTTCTCTCTCTTTCTCCCTCTTTCTCTCCCTCTCTTTCCTCTCCCTCCCCCCCTCTTTTCTATCTCTTTCCTCTCTCTGCCTCTCAGACAAGTCGGCTTTGCAGGGCTCAACATGCAGCTCCCCCTACCAGGGGTCCCCCTGGAAGACAAGCAAAACAGGGTTAATGGCCCCGTTCCCTTGTGCTCGCACCTCCTGGTCACCCACTGGCTTTCCAGGATATTTGTGATGGTATTTCCTGAGCAGACTGGGGGCATGCACATCAGTGTCTTTTACCCAAGATGCTTCCGACAGGGGGTACCCTTTCCACAGGACAAGTTAATACAAACCACCCCTTTTCTCCCGTCAGTCCAGGATTTCCTGAATCTCATAGTGGTCGGGTGCCACAGGACCTGGGGTCTCCATTGGGCAGTCATGGGACACTGGTTTCAATAGGCTGCTATGAAATACCGGGTGTAGCCTACCTAGAAACCGAGGGAGCTGGAGTCACACGGTTACCGGGTTAATTACTTGTGCAATTCGGAAAGGACCGATATACTTTGGGGCCAACTTTCTACAAGGGACCCGGAGCCGTATGTATTTTGTAGAGAGATACACCAGGTCCCCACCCTGAACGGTTTTTGGGCCCTCCGCTTCTTATCCGCTTGTTCCTTGGCAGTATCTCTTGCCTTTGCTAGGGCCTTTCTCACCACACTCCACACCCCGCTAACTCGGGCCAACCATTCACCAGGCTAACAGGGTTGGGATTCCTGACCGCTGTACTCCGGCATTGGTACAAACTCCCTGCCAGAAACCACCTGGAAGGGGGTGAAACCGGTACTACTGTGCACGGCGTTATTGTATGCCACTTCCGCGAATACTACCAACTCCACCCAATCTGTCTGTTGGTAAGAGACATAGCTCCGAAGGTATCGTTCCACCGCAGTGATTGCCCATTCTGCAGCTCCGTTGGTGCTCGGGTGGTACGCCGAACTGAGCCCTTGGGAGGATCCGAGGAGGCGTACAAAATCACGCTAAAAGTGAGCCGTGAATTGGACCCCGCGGTCTGAGATGATCCGACGTGGGGCACCATGAAGACGGTAGATATGTGACAGGAACATGCGGGCCAATCTCCGAGCCGATGGTAATCCCTTACAGGGAACGAAATGAGCCTGCTTAGAGAATAGGTCTACCACTGTCCAAATCACCGTATACCCCCAACTATCGGGTAGTTCCACAATAAAGTCCATGGCTATGTCATGGTTGGTCTGGGTCAGCCACCGACTGCAACAACCCCATGGGTTTCCCCAGGCTGGGTTTGGAAGTGGCACACACAGGGCAGCCCCTCACGTACGTTTCCACATCTGTCCTCATCCGGGGCCACCAGAATTGATGTCTGGCCAGATGTAACATCTTCAGAAACCCGAAGTGGCCCACCTGTTTTGAGTCATGACAATGGTAGAATACACGACTGCGTAGCGTTTGTGGGACATACAATTTGTTGCCATACCAGGCCAGCCCGTCCCTCTGAGTCAACATCCCGCGGTTATCCCATAACCACGGATTGTCCATGAGAGCCGATCTCAGTTCATCCTCAAGAGCTGCCGCTACCGGACGGGAGACAGCCTTTGCTTCGTCCTGTCTGTAAGGGGGCATGATTGCCTGTACCACCTCCTCCCGTTTGCTGTCGTATTGCGGTAACTGGGACAACGCGTCCGCGAGGAAGTTCCTGCCCCCTGATACATATTTGAGGTGAAACTGGAAGCGGCGGAAGTATTGTGCCCAGCGGACGGGTTTCAGTGACAGTCTCCTGGGGGTTTGCAGTACTTCCAAATTTTTATGATCTGTCCAGACCTCGAATTGGTGTTTTGCCCCTTCTAGCAAATGCCGCCACGTGGATAGAGCCCACTTCACTCCGAACGCCTCCTTCTTCCAGATGGCCCACGCTCGCTCAGTTTCCGTCAGCTTCCGAGACGTATAGGCGCAGGGCTGCAACCTCCCTTGCAGATTGTGCTGGAGCAACACCGCCCCCACCGCTACATCCCTGGTGTCTGCCTGTACTACAAATGGTCATTCTGGATCCGGGTGCAGCAGTACTGGCTCCCTAGCAAACAGAGCCTTCAAAGATTCAAAAGCACTCTGGCACTCCGTTGTCCAGGCTAGTGGTTGTCCAGGACGTGGTCTTGTGGTGGCCGTCCGGGTCCGCAGTAGGTTCGCGAGAGGTAATGCCACCGTAGCAAATGAGGGAATAAATTGCCTATAGAAGTTAGCAAACCCTAAAAAGCTTTGTAACTGGTGGCATGTTCTCGGGGCTTGCCATTCCAGCACACTCTGTACTTTTTTAGGGTCCATTTCCACCACAGCTGCTGATATCCGGTAACCCAGGTAGTCCAGGCGGGATCGGTGGAATTCACATTTTGATAACTTCACATACAGTCGGGCTTCCAACAGCTTACGTAACCCATCACGTACTAATTTGACGTGTTCCTCCATGGTCTCAGTATAAATAAGTATATCGTCAAGATATACGAGCACCCCACGGTATAGGTGTTCATGTAGGACTCTGTTAATGAGTTGCATGAAGACCGCGGGGCCCCCTTGCAAACCAAAGGGCATTACCCAGAATTGATAAATGCCCAAAGGGCAATTGAAAGCTGTTTTCCACTCACCACCGGGCTTGATTCTGACCCGGTAATAGGCTTCACGTAGATCTAACTTCGTAAAGATCTTACCCTGGGCTAAATGGGCCAAGAGATCCTTCATCAAAGAGAGGGGGTACATATGTTCTACACAAACTGCATTGATGCCATGGAAGTCCACGCAGAGTCGGAGTCCTCCATCCTTTTTCTCCTGAAATAGCACCGGTGCTGCTATCCGAGACCGTGCCGGCTGTATGAACCCCCTTGCCAGATTGTTGTCTATATATTGTCTCAATTCCTCCAACTCCCGCGGTGTCATGGGGTACATACGGGGCTTCAGTAATTTAGCCCCCGGCAGTGTATCGATGGCACAGTCAGTTGGGCTGTGAGGTGGGAGACTATCACATTCCTGCTCGCTGAACACCTCCGCAAGCTCATCGTATACTGCTGGGAATCTGGGAGCCCGTTCCCCTGCATCCAGTGCCTCTTTGATCCGTTCCTCCTCCCCTTCCTTTGCACCGGCCTTTGTCCTTGGTGGCCGAGGGCCAACACCGAGGCATTTGTGGCGACACCTCCCACCATATAGTTGGACCCCACTTATCCAGCCAGGCCAACCCCAGGATCACTGCCTCTGTCATGGAGGGAACCACGATGAACCGGAGAACTTCCCAATGCTCCCCCATGTTCAGTCTCACTGGTTCCGTCACTAGTGTAGCTGGGGGCCCACCCAAATGGGACCCTTCTACCTGCTCGAAGCGGATTGGACGAGCCAGGCGATGGACCTGATGCCGACTTTATTTACGACCTCCTTACTGACCAGACATCTAGTACAGCCTGAATCAATTAACGCCTGGTACTCGCCGGTATGGCCCGTAGTTGGGCTCGTCAGGGAAATCGGGATGGCAAAGGGACATATTGGCTGGCTTACCATGGGGTCTTCAGCGGGATCCATGTTGTCCTACTCCACCAGTAGATCATCGGGAATGGCCAGTGTCGCTTCAGTCGAGAGCCGTTGGGGAGTTCCGCCTTCTGTCTGACGAGCAACCCTCAAACGTTCGATGGATTTCTTTGGTGTGGGCCCCGATTTCCCCTGGGTCACCGGGGTACTTTGCACTGCCGGGACCGGGCACTCTGCCACCCGGTGCCCCAGCTGGTTGCACCTGAAACATCTAAATGTAGGTTTAATGGGAGGCACAGAGGTTGGTGTTGTCGGCTGGCCATTCCCCTGCCCGCCGAGGGGTGGGCTGTTCATCCGTGGGTTGCCGGAACTCCTGCAATCCCGCATCCAGCTCGGTAACCACTCGAAACCAGTCCTGGAGCCGGCACGGCACGCCTCTTACGATGCATGCTTGTCGCAGGTCCTTATCCAGACCATGACAGAAGTGAAAGAACAAGAGACGTTCTGGCCATGAACGTAGCCTGCCAGCGGCTCGTTGGAACTCCCGCACGTACTCTCTTATGGGCCGACCTCTCTGCCTCAAACCCATTACCTCCGTTTCTGCATGCTGGACCCAGGAGGGATCCTCGAACCTGGCCCTCAGCGCATCTAGGAAGAGTCCGTCATCGGCCAGCTCCCAGGCATGGTCGCTGTACAGATTGGCAGCCCAGGCCGCTGCCTCACCCTGCAGGCTTGCTGTTATCGCCACTACCATCGCCCAATGAGACGGGTACAGAGAGGTAAACTGGTCCAGGTGGCTCAGGACATGGCCCATGAACATTGCCAATCGGTCTGGGTCGCCGTCAAAGGACACCGCGATAGGTGGTGGGCCCCACATGAACCCCGATGGCCATGGGCCTGCGTGCCCCGCTAACTACCATCCACAGTAGCGAAACGACGGCCGCTCGGGTCTGCCCAACCAGGACCCTGATGACCCAGAGAAGAGCATAGGCTGGATGGTGGGTATAGCAGTCAAGGCCACACCTGCCTGTTCCTCCCGTTGGTGCCGAGACTGGTCAGTTGACACAGGCCCCAGAGGAAGCCCTCCCTGGTCAGGGCCAGTGCTAGGGGGTAATTTGAACTTTGGACTGGCAAGCTGGAACGTAGACGAGTCAGCTGGGGGCCGGGGACCGGGGGTGCCGCCAGGTCTGGGCAGAGGTTGCCGGTCACACGTCTCTCCCTCCATCCAGACAAAGCTTCCCCCCCTCCTGTCACACATGGCCCACCAGCTTCCGGACGTTGCAGGGAAGAACTCAGCCACCAATCCCCAGAAGCAGTTGTAGGGGCCTGCTGTTGGGACTCACCCCGTGTCCACGGGCTGCTGGGTCCTCTCCTTGGGCCTCACCGATGGTTGGGCCTTCCCTGCCTCCGCTGCCGGTGGTATTACGGTCTCCAATACCGGCTCTGGAAGCTCCTCCACCGATGCAGCCCCTTGAGTTCCCTCCACCATTCCCTCCGCAGTTACCTCCTGCCACCAGGGATCAGGGAAGGAGAATAATGTGTTTAAAGGGGAGTGCTAACTTACTGTCAGGTTGTCCTGTCTTGGTGCTCCACAAAATAGCCAGCAAGCAGGAACGAGAGACGAATGGTAGTTTAATGCACTCCGTATAGGAATAAAATTAGCACTGGGAGTGGATTGCTCCCAGTGCCTTACATAGGAAGCGCGCCTGCCCCACCCGCACCGGATATAACCCCATCCATCAAGTTACCATCTGGCCTGGTAGGAGAAAACCTCGCCCCTAGCCCCTCCCTCCCTCCCTCGTCCAGCCATGCAGCCCCACGCCAGTCCTATCCCTCAGTAGGCCCGTTCTCCATCTGTACAGGCCGGCAACAAGTCCATTGAGGAGGCGGAGAGCCTCAACCAGCCTCCTCCCCTTGTCAAGTGTCGACTCGGCGAGGTGCTGAGAAATGACGTCAGGAGAGAGCGTTGGCACCGCGGCAGCACCGGTGGAGCCCAGGAAGGGGCAGGCAACACTGCGACCAGCTCCCATGCCGCCCGGCCGAGGCTGACCAGCATGAAGTGCCAGCAGAGAGGCGATGCCAGTAAGGCACATGTGGGGTTGTCAGTGGGCAGCGGGAGTAGCTGGCGGCGTCCATGCCTCTCAGACAAGTCGGCCTCGCAGGGCTCGATAGGAGCTCACTTCAGCAAGCAGGGCTAGGACTCGAACTGCTGGAGCATAAATCATCTCCAGCAGCATTAAGCCACTCAGCCACCACATCTCTAATGTGTCATGGTTCCGACAGATGAAACTCTTCAAAGAACTTTGAGGCATTGTTTACCTTAAAGAATCTTTATTTGGGTAGCAACACATGGGCACGTACATAGTCCAAGCCAAAATCTGACTTCCCCTCCCCTAAGCACCTAGTATCAAAGCACAATTCCCTCCTCTAACTAACAGTCATAAATCACATTCTCCAATTAGTTTGAAATGCTGGCTTCCCCACCAGTTCTTCAACCCGCCATGTCTTATCATCTCTTATTAGAAAAAAAACCCTGGTTCCCACCCTTATACAGTATTGTTATGTCTAACTAAACTCCCAAGCACAATCCTCCTCCTCCCCCCAGTATCATCTAATTCTAACTCTAAGAGTAAAACATAAAATAGAGGAAAATGGCTGCATTCCATATGTTGTCAAAGCAAGAACATTCGATGTTAGCAGCATTGACATCATGTTCATGTTGATATAAACATAGTTCTTTTCCCCCCACAAGAATTGGTCTGTAAAATTTTGAAAACCAAAATAGAATTTAATTAATTAAATTGAATTAAATTGAATTAAATTGAATTAAATTGAATTAAATTGAATTAAATTAATTAATTAAATTAATTTAATCATATGGGAAATTTCTTCCTGAAAAATTAATATATCCTTTCAGGAAAGACACAGCAGGCTCTGAAAAATTCTAAGCTGAAAGACAAGTGCAGCAATGTCTGTTTTAATTTTATTATCTACCTACATAATTTATTTCTTATAATACTTTTATGTGTACTAATGAGGTTCAGAAAGAAATATACCCTTTAGGTGTT